CTCTCAAATGACTCCTGTCTTTTTCCATCTCAACACTGACTAGGAAATTATGATTCAGACACCATCTAGCTGTAGGACTTGGGGATGGTGAATGAAGCCATTCTTTTGAGTACACTCAAACTTATCTCACCAACTGTGTATTTAAAGAGTGCTTGCACATGTGAAAAATCTTGCAAGTATCTTCAGAAAGGAGAAACAAAGGCCACTGAACTATAGCACACTGAAGAGATGCACTGTCCATTTTAACGAGCTGCCTGCAGTGGAAACTGCTTCCACGTGTATACAATGGAGACAAGGCAGAGGTTATGATTTGACTAAAGAAAACCCCTTTGCTGATATAACCTGTTGTGGTCTGCCATCATGAACCATGGGCACGATTGCAGCTCAGTACGTCAGTCATTATAGTATCATTACTGGCAAACGTGAAAGTATCTTTGGGTGGGGAAAAAAAATCCAGAAGAGTATGCATTCTCCATGCAAAGAGGCCTAAGCTACATAATTATATTACATTTACTGCAATTTTACTCCTTTACTAGCTGGATGCAAGGGAAAAGGCGGGCCATCACAGATGGACATTTTTCATATTTCTGGAAATAATCACAGCACTGTCTTTCTTTTTCATAACCCAAAGGACTGGAGATCTGAAGGTAGCATCTGAGTAACACTAGGCTAAAGGCCAGCTGTAATGGAGCCATGGTAAACAACGCCTATCTAACACAAGCTTACGAAGCATGCGTTTAGACCTTTCGTCAGCCACCCCACTGTCCCTGCCCACCTCTAAAAGGGCCGAAAGCTTCAGAGAAAGTTGATCGCCAAAGCTGAACTGCAACAGCCCCGCGATGTACAATCTTGCACTTGGTCTCAGATTTTCTTTTTGGCTTTCCAGTTACACAGTTATAAAGTATAGATGAAGCTTAGTCAGAAGAAGAGAAATAAAGATTATTAGCAGAGATCACACTGCACTTCCAAGAAGAAAGAAGGCTCGAGGAGTTGAGGTGGCTGAAAGACACAGAAGGAAAGTTCTGATCTAGTAAGAACAACAGCAGCAAAGCTTCCAGAAAGGGTAGCAACATTTATTCGACGAGCTGATACAGATGGAAAAAATGGACAGGTTTTCTGACCCAAGATAAACCTGAAGACAAGACTGTGTGTCTAAAAGCCTACCCATTTTTTTCCAACTGTATCTGTCAGTGAAAAGGTATTCCCAACCTTGCTTCTCATATAACGTAATGCTACTTACTCGCAGACCAAGGCAGACAAGCAGTAGGATGCATCTCCATGAATACAAAATGTTCTATACTAAGTGAAAACAAAGGGAGGTCTGGATGAAAAGAACAGCTACGGTTACTAAATTGAACACTCAGGTATTCTGTAGAAGATCCCCCTAAAAGAACCAAAACATCCCAGATTCCTCCTTTTGGGGCTGGGGTGGCAGAAGGGAAGAAGAGGGAAGTCAGGTTTTGGAAGAACTGTTTCAAAGATTCCTGGGAAGTTCAGATTCTCTTTTCTTTTGCTAGTCGGGTACACACTGAACTCCCCTCATCAACATGCATCATGCACGTAACTGGTATAAAAATATGCACGTGCTTGGGCAACACAAAACTATATTGGAGAGAAGAGAGAGAGGCCTCTGTACATTTTATAACGAGACAGTCCAGCTCTTAAGTTACAAAAGTACTTCAATCTCAAATTGTCAACAGATTGAAAAAACAGTCTGAAAACACTTTGCATTGTAAACTCGCATTATTGCTGCAGCACAGAAAAATCTTTTTTAGAGTGTTGTCTTGACTTTTATCTATGAATACAGACCCTTGTTAATTTGAGATCTCTTTCTTCATACTACAACACATTGAATATCAATACTGCATTTGGATGATACCAATCCATTTCTATGGAAAAGTCTAAGATACATCTATAAAAGTAGACTTCAAATTTCCATAAAACTTGTGCTTGAAATTCCAATTTAAGCCTGAACCTGAATGAATTTGAGAAGCAATGTTCCATCATGGACTCATCCTTATTCAGTCTAAAACAATTTCTCTGTTTTTTTTAAGAAACCCAGAACCTATTTCATTCTGCTACAGGACCAGCCACCATTCTTCTTCACCTAGGAGGTAACAGCAAGTGTAACAGATTACACCATCACAGCGATAGCACAAGAAAATAATGTTATCTATGCCTGCCATAAGTACCTAGAGACCATCACAGCGATACCACAAGAAAATAATGTTACCTATGCCTGCCATAAGTACCTAGAGAGCAGACCAGAACCAGGTACATCCGACAGAATGCCACACCACAGAATTTCAGATGCAACCTATCAGTACTACAGCTTCCAAAGAAAATTCTTAATTGCCATCTACACACAACTTTTGCAGACTAAGAAAGTTCCCTGAAAACAAGAGCCATGGACCTTACTTTTGTATAGATTATTGGCCTGGATACAACCAGTTCCAAACTCCATAGTAGAGGTTAAACATCTGGACAGTAGCTAAACATGCACCTTCAATGGGCGTCTCCGCTGCATGAAATAAACTCCAAGTAGCCCCTACAAAACCTTCAACTTTGAAGAACACTCACATTGTATTAAACACACCACAAAGCAACAAGGAGAATGCCCTTGTGTCAAAGAGCTTATAGCAAGGAGTGACTATATTCTCAGTAATCCTCTCTCAAACATGCTGAAAACTAGCTGCCTGAAAGTTCTTCCACACAAAAAAACCCTTAACTTTTGTCTGCTCAGTCCTCTGGTCATAACTAGTCCACAAAAACAACAGCCTTCTAACTACTGTAATCTTCAGTAATTCTTTAGCTTAGATGGCAAAGGTTTATGCTTTTGAGGCTGAAACTTAAAAGTTCAAGTCCTGATGGCAACTACCTGTAACACTCTAGTTACATACATAGTTATTAGGAAAAAAAAGAAGAGGCTGCACTTTCACTTCTTCAGTCATTCCTTTTCTCCTCATTAGACAGAGTTCAGAAGTGCTTTTTCTCCCATGCTTTTCAATCCTAAAATACAGAAGCTCCAAGAGGATGGACATGCCTAGTGCTGTGCCATCAGATGTTATATCGATACAGCTGTATAAGGAAGACCAATTCTACCTAATACTACTGGCTCAAATCTTTCACAGCTCAACATGCTCAAGATGTTGAAAGGAAAGGATCTTTAGAAATTGAGAGGATGAGCGTCATTACCAACACCATGCTGGATAATCCATTTTGTTAATTTAGCATTTGTATAATAAGAAAAGTACAGATCTCATAAATGAAGTATCAGGTAACCCAATTGTAATAAACTGGTTTAAAAGCTATTCTACACCCAGCCGATGTCAGGAAGAGTTGTGTGCAGAATGACTTGAGAATGAGAAGCTACACTGCAAACACAGCTCTCCAAAACTAATTGTATCCTAATGGAGAATGCAGATTTGATCTTCTGGCAAGCTCCTCTCAATTCTTGATTTTACTTGCGATCCTTTAGAACGACCAAAACCCATTCATATAAATAGAAGGAAGTCTCAGTTTTTTCTTGAAGCTTCCATTTGCCAAAAGATCTCTGTTGTGGTCTTAACAGACCATCAAGTGCATACAGATGATTCTTAAGAATATTCAGGCAGAAGATCAGTTGCACAACTAGCTTAGATGCTTAACTGTGTGTCCTACTCTGTCCATCTCTGCACTCTAACGTGTATTAATTTAAGCCCCCCTAATCCAAACACCTTCACTGCAGGAATTCAGATACAACCCAAGTATTCAATGCTACAAGGCTTTTGGACTTGCAACTTCAGCTTCAAATGGTAGAAGAGACCAACTCCTACGGATTTCATTTGCCCTATTTTTTTTCCCCCTGCTAACATAAGTTATTAAAAAGCCTCGCTGGATTTATTGACCTCTCATACTACTATAAATCACTTAACCACCCACAGAAATAAACTTGGATGTAGAAATGCAAATCAGGGATTACTGAGGAAAGGGAGAAGTAAGGTGATGACAACCCGTTGGAGAATCTATCACAAAAACAGTGACTTGCAGTACCTGGTCTGGCATGTACCATGGTCTGCTATTACCTGTGGTGAGCTCTAGCTAGTGCTTCAGAGCTTCTACCACCACAAAGCATTCAGTCCAAAAAGAGTCTGACCTGGACACACACTTAGCTAGGAATGCGACCCTTCTATACAGACACACTACTTTCTTAGCAAAAGGAAACCTGAGCTATTAAATACGATGAGAATATACACTGCGACTATACCAGACATTTTTCAAGCAGCAAAAAGAAAACATTAACTACACAAGCTTCAATTGCTTAAGACTCAATATTTAACTTATTTCACACCCAAAAGTCTGACTAAATGATTGTTACCCTGCCCCATGCCAAATATCCATCATTCCTCAAATGTGGAAGAAAGCTTAACTGTGTAGCAATGTATTGTTTCATCGCTAGCAGTTTCCTCTTTGATTACGGAAGTTACAATATTGTCTGCACATACTTCAATAGTGTCTCCTTGTGAAAGCTAGATAACAAGTAGTCTTAAGTAACTCCAAGAAAAAAACACCTCCCCTCAAACAGCACACCTATAGGAGTACAAATATAACACTATCTGAGAGAACCAGTTGATAAAGTGACTGTCAGCCCTCGACACATTGTGTAACAGCATTACAGAAGTGTCACACGTATTTCTGGAATACTTTCTCAGTTGTAGATGACTTTTGTGCACATCAATTTGTAGCATGACAGGATTTAGATATATTGCAATCCACTATAAACACACACACCATTGTTAAAAAACCCCCACCTGTAGGCAATCTCAAAAAAACCCTGATCAATACATATTACAGTACGCTGCTTCAATGCCTTCTTTTCCTTATCTACATCAGGAATTACTGGGTCCCCACAGCTTAAAGGCACCCAGTTTAGACTGAAGGCCACCAAGACACTAAAACTGAATTTGAATTTTTACTTTCAGCCCACATGTCTTTATTATATTCAGTTCATATAGACTCACCTTAGTCCATGGATGTGCCTTAATCTGAGGGAATTTGAATTCAGTATAGTTTGGATTCATTTCTCTAATTTGCTCCCTTGTAGGCGTTCCCAGAACCTATAAAGGACAGAGGAAAAAAAGGCAAATTGTTTAGATGTACTTCAGATTCACATGGTAACGAAGAGCACAGTATAACCTACTACACACTGAGACAACTGAACCGATCTGTGTAACTAGTAAGTTAATATAGTCCTGAGAATAAAACAGCAAAACTTTTGCAGAAGCTCCTGCGATCTCCTGGGAGCTTCTGATCCAACCCCCTGCCCAAGCAGGATCAGCTGAAGCAGGTTGCCCAAGACCATGTCCAGCTGGGTTTTTAGCATCTCCACAGAAAGAGACTTGACAACCTGTCTCAGCAACCTGCTTCAGCCTTTGACCACCCTTGCAGTAAAAAAAGTGTTTTCTTGCATTCAAATGAAGTTTCATGTCTTTCACATTGTGCCACTACCTCTTGTCCAGTCAGTGGGCACCACTGAGAAGGGCCTGGCTGCTGCTTCTTCATTCCCTCCCACCAGGTATTTATACACACTGATGAGATCCCCCTGAGCCTTCTCTGCTCTAGGCTGAACAGTCCCAACTCTTGCAGCCTCTCCTCACGTGACAGATGCTCCAGTCCCTTAATCATCTTTGTGGCCCTTGCTCCAACTTCAGTAGTCTCTTGCTGGCAACTGAGTTCACACTCCCAGCCCAGTGTCAAAAATTCAGTGATCATCTATGATTTTTCAGAAAATTAAAGCATCTTTCTCAAACTCAGTGATACTTCGATGGGGAAGAGAATTTGCTCTGATTGGACTGTTATAAAACAGTACTGCTGAACACCCTCAGGGATTGCTGCTCACTGCATATGGCTGATGAAGGATCAGACCAGTAGCACAGACGGCATCTTACATGTCATGAACAGCAGTCCTCTGATGAGCTTAAAAGATTAGCCAGTTACTGCTGAGGGAAGCCAGACAGGTCCATTCCCCTGCCCCAAACTGTGTGGGTTTTGGTGGTGGTTCCCCACCCCAGTATTTCCACGTGGAAGATAAACTTATGTTTAAACCTAACCTGGAAGCATCTAAAATGCATACCACACCCCTGGTTTACTTTTACAAATTTATATTTCTCATTCCCAGAATCTGCACAATGTTATTCACACAAGCAAATTAGTAGTTGTATTAGAAGTAACACACAACTGCACACCTTATAGTAGGGGTGGATAGATTTTGAAAGGATTCTGGAAATCCCTTCAGGGAATAAACTGGACAACACAGCATTAGTGTTTTCTATTCAGTCAGCATTAAGCACAAGAGAGCCACTGCCTTCTACCTATATATAAAAACTGCAAAGCACGTTCAAGGAATCCCGTTGTTTTCTGCTTGCACCCAGTTGCTGGGCATTGTTCTGTTCTGCAGAGAGAAGCGAAGAGGGCAGAAGGCAGCAGAGTCGCGCCTCTATGCTGAGCTCAGGTTCATCTTCCTTCCTATAGGAACCCTGCAGCCACGCTACTCTTGCCCGGTGACAGATCCCTCACCATACAGATTAGCGTAATGTTATCACCTCATCTCATGAGACTGCGCTGTCACCATCAGGAAACAAATGATCTGCAACATGACATTAGCACTCTACCTTACAGCTTGATAAAGAAAAATTTGGTTACATATTCTGGTATCTGTGAACATTTTCATTCTGTTAGACAAGTGGAAATTACACAAATGCACTCTAAAGAGTCAGATAAAAGAGTAAAAGAGCAAGTTAATTGCTATATAATAAATTTGTGCAACAGAGAAACTATCACCAGGTATTATGAAAGAAACTTAGTATCTCTTGACTGTTTAAAATATGAGCTGTATGACACAAACTAAAATACATACCCACAAAGCAACCTTTTAAACAAGCAGCAGCAGAAGAGGAAATAAACCCTGCAACTCGTTCAGACAGTTGCTTCTTGGATAACAGATTTAACTGACAAGTCGTACAAAACAAATGATCACGTAACTCCTACCTTCCCATTGCTAACCCGGAATTAAATCCCACCTACTCTAAAAGCCAAGGGTTACCTTCACAACCAACAGAAGATTTTTCTGTGCGTGTCTGAAAATGCCAGTTTTGCTGAGGTGGTAGAAAAGAGGGTGTTTACAGGATTCCATACATTTTGCTCAACTTTCAAAGCAAAAAAGGGTTGACAGAAAAACGTGCCCTTTCCCTGCTGGTCTTCCAGCTGGCTCCCCCCAGAGCACTGGCCACCCAGCTGCCAGCATGGTGCCACTCTCAAAGCTTTCCAGTTCTGAAAGGTGATGCAAATGCTATTTTCACCCCAATTCAGGATAAAAGACATTTTCAAAACCATGGAAGTTTCTTGAATTAGTTAAATTAACTTCCTGAAAAGCTATGGATAACTTCCATTACTATCCCACCATGCCTAAAGGCTGTGTTTTCAGGTCTCCCTAGTACAAACAGAACTTGTTTAAAAGCACGTTTACCTTCTTTACCCTTCTCCCCCTCAAAAAATTCCTTTAATAGCCTTCTAAGAAGAGGCAAGGACTAGATTTTTTTCTATAACTAAAATTCAGGAAACTGGCTCAGTTCCCAAAGCTGCTCAGAACAGGAGCCTACACAGTGCAAGTATCTTCATTTTAATGACTGCCTACAGCATCAGAGAGAATTCAGATTAGATAGGCAAGGGCAACTTCATGGAAGGATCCACAGACAATGTCTATCCGTACATTTCACTAAAAACACAGCTGTAGCTCAAGAAGATGGGAGGGAGCAACTCCTAAGCTCAAGCACAGTCATCTAAGCAACAGTGCTTAAAGTCTCACGAATGCTTGGAAAAGGGATCATGGCAGCTGAAAGAAGGGATTGCCTGACCTTTCAGTTACATAGCAGCCTTTGACAAACAAAGTAACTGCACGAAAGGAAAAGTGACTTACATTAGCCACTCAGTGTATTTACTTTGTTCTGTCTGGATTATAAAGCCAGATTGTGCTTTCAATTTGTACTGAAGGCAGATTAAGGAAAAAAAACCAACAAACCAACACAAAACAAAAAACAAACACACACACACCCAACCAAACAAAAAAACAAACCCAAAAAACCAAACCTCAACCCCCCCCAAAAAAACCAAGAATAGGAAAGTAGATAGGCAAGAAAAATGGAAGTTTTAAAGACGGTGTAAAATTCAAATCACAATCCTCAAGAGTATGGGATGAATAAAGTGATAAGCTATAAAATTCTATCAGTACTTGACAAATCTGGAAGAGGTCCTGCAGTGGACCTCTCCCCACCCCTCAATGCACCAACACTGTTGGCTACATGATTTTGAAATTGTACCTCACTGATTCACACTGAGTTTTCAGTATATTAGGAATACAATCGAGTAACCTTGGTGAGTAACAACATTTAAGCTACTGCAAAAACTGGGCAAACCTCTTTATTTTAAAGAAGTCACATATGTGAATGCTCTTTCCATTTGAAACGCAAAGGAGAAGCATAAATTACTTTGCACATTTTTGGCAGAGTTACTCCATGAAACAGCTGCTCTTGCTGTACCAATTCTGAAAATACTATGGAACAGATGTTCCTTGGAGAGAGGTTTCACAGAATGGCTGAGCTTGGAAGGGATCTCTGGAGGTCACTTGGTCCAACCCCCCTGCTCAAGCAAGGTCAGCAAGAGCTGGTTCCCCAAGACCATGTCCAGACAACTTCTGAATATCTCCAAGGATGGAACCTCCACAACCTCTCTGGACAACATGTTCCAGTGTTTGACCACCCTCACAATAAAAACTGTTTTCTTGTGTTCAGATTGAATTTCATGTGTTTTGATTTGTGCTCACCACCTCTTGTCCTGTCAACGGACGCCACAGAAAACAGCCTGGCTCCCTCTTCTTTGCACATTCCCTTCAGATACTTCCATACACTGAGAAGATCTTCCCTAATCTTGCAAAGGGTCCAATACTGAATTATTCAGGTCTGTGCACATTAGCACATACTATTCTACTTCTTGTGGACAGTCTTATAAAAGGTAATTTGTTAAGGAAAAAGTTGATCTTTTTTACTGGGCACTTTAAAAAAAAAAAAAGAGAACCAAAGCAGAGTAAATAGTGTAATAATAAAAATGTAATTGTCTGATGGAATCAACTGTATCTGGAATGAAGACTAAACTTTTGAATGAATGAAGGGGGTCTACGCAAGACTACAAGGGATCTTCCTGCAAGTGAAGATAACAGGTCAACTAGTTTTGCTCTTCATTCCCTATTGCCATCATAATCTCTTAAATAAAAATAAATAAAAAGAAAAGTTATCTACCAAGATTAACTAAAGAATACACTTGCTGAGAAGTCAGATACTTCTCTGACTCTTTTAGGGCAAAAATTGAACACAACAGGTTTCACAAGTATTTTCTGGAAAGTTTTTCCTTGACATTAATCTGTAATAGATGAAGCTCCCCAAATAATTTTTATTCCAGGAACAAGGTTTGTGAAGGTAGGGTAATGATACATATCTCAAGCAATTAAAGAAAAGCCACGGGCTTCCAGTAATGTCATCCTTAACAAACATGAGAAAGATTTCTGAACCTGAAATAAATACTGTATTTGATTATAAATAGCATAAAGATCTTAATTTTAAGTGCTTGCAATATAAGTTTTATAGGAGAAAAAGATGGAATATATTCAGCTCCAAAAGACACCTTAGTTACACCCCAATACTGAAGACAGCTGCTGGCCACAACTGGCTTCACTGTGCAAAACTGCACAGAATTATTTATGACCAAATACACACCACTGCAACACCGGAGGAAGAGGAAACTGCAAGGGTCTCAGCAAACTCCAGTGGAACAGCAGCCCTTTCCAACAACTATCGTTATCGCTAAGCCTTTGCCAAAACGTCAAAGTCAGTTAAAAGCACAGCGAGACCGAGGGTTCAGAAGCTCTGGCTGGTAATGACTGAACTAGAGAGGGGAGAATGTAGTTATTTAAATCAGAAACCTCTAGAAAGCCATGGTTACAGCACTACAGTGCCTTCCCCAGGAAAACCGTGCAAGTTTATGAGGAAATGTGCTCCACCAAGTGTGG